AACTAGACATAAGACCTGAAACCATAAAATATGTAGAAGGAAATATAGGTGAAACACTCCATGATATGCACATCAAAGACATCTTTACAGACACATCACCCAAAGCAGTGATAGTGAAGGCACAGATAAACAGCTGGGACTACATCAAATTAAAGAGCTTCTGCACAGCAAAAGACACAATAACCAAAACAAAGAGAAACCCCACCAACTGGGAGAACATTTTTGCAAACAACACTAATGATAAAGGACTGATGACAAAAATCTACAAAGAGCTGATGAGACTCAACAAAAACAAAGAAAATAATCCAGTCAGAAAATGGGCAGAAGAGCTAAAAAGAAACTTCTCTGAAGAGGAAATGCAAATGGCCAATAGGCATATGAAAAAATGTTCAACATCACTTGCCATCAGGGAAATGCAAATCACAACTACAATGAGATACCATCTGACATCAGTGAGAATGGCACCTATTAAAAAAACTAGCAACAACAAATGTTGGCGAGGTTGTGGAGAAAAATGAACTCTCCTGCATTGCTGGTGGGAGTGCAAACTGGTCCAACCACTATGGAGAGCTGTGTGGAGATTTCTGGACCTACTAAACATAGAGCTTCCATATGATCCAGCAATTCCACTCCTTGGTATTTATCCAAAGGACTCAGAAACATTAATTCCAAAGGGCACCTGCATCCCTATATTTATAGCAGCACTATTTACAATAGCTAAGCTTTGGAAACAACCCAAATGCCCAAAAATAGATGACTGGATCAAGAAGATGTGGTACATGTACACCATGGAATATTACTCAGCAATCCAAAAAGATAAACACATGCAATTTGCAGCAACATGGATGGAGCTAGAAGGGATCATGCTCAGCGAAATAAGTCAGAAAGAAAAAGAAAAATACCGGATGGTCTCACTTATAGCAGGAATTTAGGAAACCTAAATAAGGGACCAGGAAAAGGACTAATTAATACAAAGTAAAAATCAAAATCAACAAGCAACTATAAACCAGGGACACACTACGGTGGGGAGGGGGAGAAATGGGGAAAGGAAGGATTAGGGTCAAAATAAGGGAGGGTGCAATTGTATGGGGAATATAACCAAGATGAAAATGCATACATTGTGCAAAAATGAAAAATGATGAAAGAATTATATAAAATAAAATATTAAAAAAATAATTGTTAGCATGTCATAACACTATTCTAGCTGTTTTCCACTTGTAATGACCTAGACACTGTTCCACATCAGTATATACAGATCTACTTCCCTCTTTTTAATGACTACACAGTATTTCACTGTCTGACTATACCATCCTTTATTTAATCTGGCCTCCCTAATGATGACTCTTTCAGTTGCATTGCTTCTAGTCTATATTGCATTACTTCTAGTTTATAAACAGTGTTGCAATTAATATTATTTTACATACACCTTTATACAGTATGTTGGCAAGATTAAATTTCTAGAAGTGGAATTACAAGGTATGACATGTATTACAGTTCCAAACAATGGCTAAATTGCTTGTTCAACCAGAAGACAATGGTGAGAAATGTAAATGGGGATGTCCCATAGATATCGTAGTACCTGAGGACACCTGTGAGTGTGTGTAGCTGCTTTTGCACATGTGAGGTATTTGGAACAGAGTAGGTAGGTGGAAGTAGGCTGAGGGTGACTATTTATATATGCATTTCTTGAGAAAAATAACATGAATGACCTAATGCCTTTAGGTCTATTGAACGACTATTCCATAGCAAACCGTAGATTCAATCTAACTCTGCCCATATCCTGAGGGTGAGCCAGGAGATACCTGGAAGGAAGAGGAGGAAGAGACGCCTATCCTGACCTTGAGAACATCTATTCTTGGAGTGGCCACCAAGGCATCTGGGCCTGGCTCCCAACTCAGTTAGCATAGATGCCCAGTCCCAGAAAAGTATAAACAGGGTGACCCTGAAAATACCTTTTTCCTGGGAGACAAAGGTCAGTGAGATGGGGGCAGGCTCAGTACAAGGATCCTTTGATGAGTTGAATCATGAATTCAAATAAGAGCCCCTATAGCTGGAGCATAAAGGTGTGCATAGTCTTTCCCCATATGAGAAAAACTGGGGGAACACAGTCTCAGTTTCCATCCAGCATGACCACGAGGTTTCACTCCTCCAAGTCCCCTTCCCTATTGGGAACAGAATTCTGTTTTCATGCTTCTCCCCACAGGATGAGACGGAAGTGATCAAATGTGGTGGTTCTGGGTGCAAAATTTAGGGGTTCCCAAAGAAACTTAGAAATCAAGACAAAGAATATCCTAATGCAGAATTTAAAGAATTCTAAATTTATTTTAAAATCCATGATCAACTTTGAGTATTAAAGACAGAATCCAGCCCTTCACTTTTTATTTTTTAAAGATTTATTTATTTATTTATACAAGCACTGGGTACAGTCAGAAGCGCGGGAGGGTGAGAGAATTCACCAGAGCCAGAGCGGGGAGCAGAACAGGCAGGCTGACAAAGTACACTACTGACGGGAGCAGTGGGCGCCGCAGGAGAGGTCTGCGGGCCATGTGGGATCCTCGTGGCTGCCAGCGATTGAACCGGTGCTGCAGACGCCACGGGCAACTTCAAAGCCCAGCACTCAACGGCTGCACCACCAGGGGAGGCCCCAGCCCTTCACTTTCATCACCCTCCATCACCTGCCTCACTAGTCCTTGCTCCAGTAAAACTTTAGTTAAAAAAACAGGTGGCCAGCCCACAGGTTGTAGTTTGCCAATATGGTTTTCAAAAGTCTTCATTATATTTCACTGAGCATGATCCCTTCCAGCTCCATCCATGTTGCTGCAAATTGCATGTGTTTATCTTTTTTGAATGCTGAGTAATATTCCATGGTATATATGTACCACATCTTCTTGAGCCAGTCATCTATTTTGGGGCATTTGGGTTGTTTCCAAAGCCTAGCTATTGTAAACAGTGCTGCAATAAACATAGGGGTGCAGGTGTTCTTTGGAATTGATGTTTCTGTGTCCTTTGGGTAAATACTAGGAGTGGAATTGCTGGATCATATGGAAGCTCTATGTTTAGTAGGTCAAGAAATCTCCTCACAGCTCTCCATAGTGGTTGGACCAGTTTGCACTACCACCAGCAATGCAGGAGAGTTCCTTTTTCTCCACAACCTCGCCAACATTTGTTGTTGCTAGTTTTTTTAATAGGTGCCATTCTCACTGGTGTAAGATGGTATCTCATTGTAGTTGTGATTTGCATTTCCCTGATGACAAGTGATGTTGAACATTTTTTCATATTCCTGTTGGCCATTTGCATTTCCTCTTCAGAGAAGTTTCTTTTTAGCTCTTCTGCCCATTTTTTGACTGGATTATTTTCTTTGTTTTTGTTGAGTCTCATCAGCTCTTTGTAGATTTTTGTCATCAGTCCTTTATCATTAGTGTTGTGTGCAAAAATGTTCTCCCAGTTGGTGGGGTTTCTCTTTGTTTTGGTTATTGTCTCTTTTGCTGTGCAGAAGCTCTTTAATTTGATGTAGTCCCAGCTGTTTATCTGTGCCTTCACTATCACTGCTTTGGGTGATGTGTCTGTAAAGATGTCTTTGATGTGCATATCATGGAGTGTTTCGCCTATATTTCCTTCTATATATTATTTGCAGCAACATGGATGGAGCTGGAAGGGATCATGCTCAGCGAAATAAGCCAGAAAGAAAAAGAAAAATACCGGATGGTCTCACTCATAGCAGGAATCTAGGAAACTTAAATAAGGGACCAGGAAAAAGAATAACTCTAAGAAAGAAAATATCAAAATCAACAAACAACTATGAACCAGAGACACTCTACGGGGGGTGGGGGGCAGGGAAAGGAGGGATTGGGGTCAAAATAAGGGGGTTGTAGTTGTATGGGGAATATAAAAATAAAATTTAAATAAAGTCTTCATTATATATATTTTATTATACTAAAATAAGAAATTTTACCATTTTAACCATTTTAAGTGTACATGTGACAATAAGTGTACATTTTAAATGTGCAGTGGCACTAAGTACATTCACATTAAAAAATTACATTAAAATAGGGCCTCCCTGGTGGCGCAGCGGGTTTAGTGCAGCGCTGTGAAGCTGTCCGCAGCCTTTGCAGAGCGGGTTCGAGTCCCAGCTGGCCAGGGCGATGCCCACATGGCGCAGCAGACCTCCTGTCTCACCCGCTGCTCCCCTCAGCAGTGTACTTTGGTCCATCTGCCTGTTCCGCTCCCGCTCTATCTCTGGTGAATCTTGTCACCCTCCCGCAGCTCTGGCCTGTCCCCCAGCTCTTGTATAAATAAATAAATCTTTAAAAAATAGATTACAGGGCCTCCCCTGGTGGCGCAGCGGTTGAGCGCTGGGCTGCAAGGCTGCCCATAGCCTCTGCAGCGCATGTTCGTTCCCCGGCCACCGGCGAGGGTCCCACCAAAAAAAAATCACTATTGTGATTGCGGAGTTTAACATAAGTTTTGTGCGGGGTTGGATTGGGGGGAGCGATTTGAGGAGAGGGGACGGGTCAGAGCCTTACTCTAGTGCCCGCCCTGCCTCTCCCCACCCCTTGCCCCCTCCTGTTGTCTGAACGTGGAAAATTCCAAGTTTCTCCCACAGGGCAGCTACAGAAGTTATTCCAGGGGCGATCAGGCCATCGAGGATGTCCGTCTAGACAGCCTTCGGCGACGGGACTTGCGTCGCCTGCGGCCGCCCGCCCGCTCCGCTCTCCTGCTGCGACGGGACCCACCTGGCGGGCGCGCCCTCCACCTGCCCGCGGCCACCTGGCGGGAGGCCCGCCGCCCCGACCAGCCCGGCTCGGGTCGGCCCTGGCCGCCTGCCGGCCAATGGGGACGGGGGGACCCTGCGGCTCGGGCGGTGTCCCGCCGAGGGCCAATGGGCGCGCGGCATGCAAATGAGCAGGTGCGGGGCTGGCGGCTGCCCGCCCGACCCGGCGGCCCCGGCTGGCAGAGGAGGCAGACGCCCCGCTGGGAGCTGCGCGCTCCGCTGTCCCGCCATGGCCCCCGCTCCGCCCCCCGCCGCCTCGTTCTCGCCCGCCGAGGTCCAGCGGCGCCTGGCGGCCGGCGCCTGCTGGGTTCGCTGCGGCGCCCGCCTCTACGATCTCACGGGCTTCGTGCGCCACCACCCCGGGGGTGAGCAGCTGCTGCTGGCCAGGGCTGGCCAGGATGTCAGCGCCGACCTGGACGGGCCGCCGCACCGGCACTCCGCGAACGCACGCCGCTGGCTGGAGCAGTACTACGTGGGCGAGCTGCAAGGAGACCCGCAGGTACAGCAGGGCCGCGGTCACGCCCTCCCCTCTCCCGGCCCCGCTTCGCTCTCCCAGCTCGCCACTCTGAGAGGACCCAAGGGGACAGCCTGCACCCTCACTTCGGTTGCTCGGGTCTTCTCTCAGGTGGCAGGTCACTCCCATGCACGCTTCCAGCTTCCCCTTCTCTCCAGCGGTTCTCCTCTCTGCTGCTTCTATCATCGCCCGAATTCCCCCGCTTCCCACTTGTTCCTTCTGCAGGCTCTGACAGCTGCAACTTGGAACATCTTTTTCCAGCCTCACGCTGCTGTCTCTCCTTCTTGTTCCCCTGTTGGTCTCTCCCTCATTGCAACTGCTCTTCCTTCCTACCTGTCCTCTCCCTACCTCCCTACACCCGCTTTCAAGAGGTCCATCAACCTTACCCACTAGTTTGCATTTCCTGCTATGCACTTATCTTGCAGTAGGACTCCCCTAGGTATCTGGAGAGGTTGGGCTGTGTCTTGGGGAGACTCTGTCCTTTCACTCCTCAGACCTCTCTTTGTTCCTTGTTTTTCGTGCTTGGATGTCAACAAGAGTGACATGACAAGGAGAAATCAGTTATTTGCAGGAAGAAGGGGTTAATACTTCCAGGTGCATGCTGCTATGCAGCACAGGCTGTTCATGGTAGCTAAACCTCTGATCCTGGAGTCAGCCTGGTTATCCCCATCTGAGAATGTGGAAACTGAGCTTCAAAGAGGCATTGCAATTTGTCCAAGGTCAAACAGCTAGTTAGTGGGATGGCCAAGTGCATCTGATTCCAAACTGAGGCTGTCTCGGTCCCAAGGGTCTCTGAGCAGTGAGGTGGCCCCTATACACAGGGCTCCCAGTAGGCTCAGACCAGAGGCAAACCCACTCCTCTGGCCTTAAGGACTAGTGACAGTGGGGCCATAATGGTAAATAAAAACCAGCAGTTGTTGCCTACTTCTTGTTCTTGCTTTCAAGTTGGCCCCAAGTAGTGCATTTGAATGAAAGGACTTGCCTCTCTCCCAGGTGGATCCTCACTGGACCATCTTATCCAATTCTTCATTTAGGCACTCAGTCACTCAGTGCTGCCTCAATGACTGGCAGCACTGGGCTAGGCACAGTGGTCAAAACCATCCTCATGAAGCTAAAAGCTGATGGCAGGGTGTCATACCAATGGCATAGCATGTCCTTTGTGATTCTTAGTATGGAAATCTGGAAAGAGGAGCTCAGGGAGAGCTTTCTTGAGAACATTACAATCACACTGAGGGCCTTGCCATGGAGAGGGCTTGACAGGTGAAGTGTGACCAGGGGGAGCATTCCAGCTGAAGGAAAGCATGGGTGAAGATTCTGAATGGCAAGGATTGGGGTGTGAGAGGAACCAAAGATCAGCTAGGTCTCATGGTGCAGGGCCTCAGAGGCTGTGGCCAGGGTATGGTACTCAGTTCCAAGGAAGATGGAAAGCCAGGGGAGGGATTTGGCAGGGGTGTGGCATGGCCAGATTTGCATCTTTGGGAGAGCACCCCAGCTGCAGAGAAGGAGCAGCGGGAGACCCAGTGGGTGGGAAGAGACCCAGCAGGAGGCCACAACAGTGAGAAGGGTAACAGTTGCTGGAACTGAGGGGCAGGTGGGGAAGACTTTGGGAGATTTCATAGGTAAAATGCCAGGACTCCTCTTGGACTCAGGGGGAGCTCAGTTCAATCTTGGAAGCTGATGTTTGGTGTCAGGTCATAATTATGGGCAGAAGGTTTAGCTCAGAGCAGGAAATAGGAAAGCCTGGGATCAGACTAGATTTCCAGGCTATGAGGACCCGTGAGCCATGCTACACTGTAACTGAGTTCTATAAACAGGAGCAACAGGGAGTACTTTCCCCTTCCAGTGTGATGGTGGTGATGGTGCCGGGAATCTCTCTTGATCCACTGCCTTGGCCCTACCTCCTACCTCTGCTAACAGCCCTGAAATGGGCAGGGTTGGCTTTTGCTTTGCTTTGCTCTTCCTTGCTTGATTCTCAGGAGAACTGAATGAATATTGAGTCCACATTTGTGTCCTACTCATATATTCTCATTTACCCCAAGAGCCCCAGTGTGACCATGTCATAATATCCTTCTATCTGGGCCCAACCTCAGGATGTGGGCCAAACCCATAGCCCATATTCTACCAAGGACCATACTCATCCAACACACCAGTTGTTTTTTGACTTCTGTCTAGAGATTTCTGTTCTGGAAACAAGTACAGTGTTATCTTGAAATCAGGGGTGAGCAGTAGTCAGAGGACAATTCTGTGGCATCTTCCAGAGAGATGCCTTCCTAAGGCGTGAGTGGAGTTGAGGGGTTTCCATGTTCTCACGCTAAGCCATTCTAGTGCCCCAAGCTAACTTCTCCACCTCCTCCTCCCCTGCTGGACTAGGGATGCTGACACCTGTTGCGGTTAGAGCCACCTCTTGTGTGTGAGGAGCAGGAGGGACATTGATGGGGGAGGGGAGCACGATGAGCCATCCCTGCTCCTTTCAGAATGATACTCCAAGCCAGGTCCCTGGAGATGAGCATAATCCTTAAACTCTACTATGATATTTCTAGGGAGAAGCCCTGATCCCATTGTTCCCCTGTTCTCCACTTTGCCACAGTCCCTCTATATACATACTTACACACATTGACACTCACATGTAAAGCAAGTCAAACTTGTTTAAGCCAACATAGTGTGGGGGTAAGACAAGGTCTGCTTTAGACTTGAGGAAGCTGAGCTGCCCGCCTTGAGCAAATGAAAGCAATGTCTGAGCAAGAAGGCCAGGCCCTATTTCCTGCCTCTGCCCCTTAGGGGCCAGTAGGATCAAACTCACTCTGAATTCAAGTAAAAACAGTATTTTTCCCACCTTTATTTACATCATGAATGGGGTATGAAGTTCACTTTTTGAATTGCAGCCAGCACTTTTTAGAAGGAAAGAAGTAGAAAGCAAAGGAAAATCTTTGGATCAAAACTCTTCCCAAGGCCATAGATACTATGTTCCCCAGACTTCAGTTATCCATAGCCCTGTCACAGGTTTTTTTTCCAAATTGGCCTGCCACTCAAACTCTTATGTATCTCTTTAAGTACTCACGCTTTTTCACTTTGCCATTTACACGCCCTAGGCGATAATACCATTGAAATCACAGATTTTCCATGCACTTTAAAATATAGAGCAATAAAAATAAGAAAATCTCATCCCCATATACTCTAAAGTGATCTTAGACACCATCAGTGGAGTAAATATCACATTTTGGAAAACACACAGAACAGAGCTACTTAATCTTGGTGTTCTCTGGATCATTTTCTGGGATTGATGAAAAAGATGAAATTGTGTGTTAAAAATGCACAGTGGTGCATTTTTCTGATGAGAGCTGCAGCTGTCATCTGTCCAACCAGAATCCTTTCCTCACCCAAACCTGCCTCCAAGAGGTTTATAATCGTGAAGCAACAGCTGGTACTTCCCTGTCACACACACACACACACACCTCAAGGGGTCCTTCCTAGGCCAACATCTGACCATGCCCCTCAGTAAGAGCCCTCTGATAGAGAAGACCCTGAAGCAGGTGAGCCTTGATCTCAGCTACTGATGATGGGGTAATCCTATGTTTGAAGGTCTCTGGGTTCCACATCCTTATCTCACAGGCACGTCTGTCTCTGGAGAGCTGAGAAATCCTCCTATTCTACCACATGTGGTTCTGCCAGGCTTTGGGGTCTAGCTGTTCTGAGCTTCAGGGCTGGAGTAAATGGGGATGAACAATTGGGAGGAGATCCATATGCTGGAAGACATGGGGTTTCCTCTCCACCCCAGACTCTGGAACGTGTTGAGTGCAGCCCAACTTAGAAAGCTGCTCTGAGCTAAGAACTCAGAGAGAAGCAGTGCTTTGGGGAGTTTACCCAAACACTCCCTGCCCCACTGAAGAGCAGAAGGAGGCGAGAATTTTGCCAGCTGAAAGGGGTTGAGCCCTTGTTACCCTACAAAAAGGCATCCCAGTTGAGCCTGACTGACTAATCAGCAGCCACCATCTTTCACTATCTACCAGGGACTTTGAGCTCTGGTCTGCATGGTGCCAGGCAAGTGTTAGCTGGAGGGTGAACAGAAGATCTGGTGATAGAGCATCCAGGGAGCAGGTCACTGTGTTTCCATGTGGCACCAGGATAAACACAGGATCCAGGAGTCCTCCAGGTGTGACCCCAGAATTCAGTGAATTAAGGGGCTTCGAGACCCAAATTGAAGGGAAGGTCAGAAGTTAGGACTCTCTGGGGGAAATAAAAATAAACAAATGGAAACCCCCTTATCTTTTGAAACATTTCCAGGAAGATTCCAAAGTATTGACTGAGCAGCATCCTTCATCTTCCCTTTCCTTATTTATTTTTATGCCACACACTCGTTGCTGGCTCATATGTTATCCTCATTTATTTTGACAGGTGGATGATACTTACTGCTCTTTTCTTTCTGTAACCCACCACGACACTGAAACTGCCCTTGCCAGGGTCATCAAGGTGGGACCATCAAGGTGGGATAATCACCTTGATAAGCACATAGTCAGTTCTTACCCGATCTTACCTGGCCTGGCATAGGGTACTCACTGCCTCCTCCTTGCTATGCTTTCTCCATGGGGGTTTCTGGATACCACACCCTTTTGGTCTTCCATCTGTATTAGTTTTCTATCACTGCTGTCATGAATTACCTCATACTCAGTGACTTAGAGCAATACAAATGAATTCTCTTGCAATACTGGAGTAGGTCTGATGTCTAAAAGGAGTCAGGGAAGCCTTCCTTCTGGGAGCTCTAGAGGGAAACTGTTTTCCTGCCTATTTTAGCCTTAAGATGCTGCTGGTATTCCTTGGCTTGTAGCCACGGCCAATAATTGGAGTGCTCAGACCTTTGTCCTCACTGTATCTCCTCTGATGCTGACTCTTCTGCCTCTCCCTTTATCACCCAAGTAATCTGTCACTGCTCCTCTGAGTAACCTTTGCCTTTTCATCACTGTAGACGAGAGGAGAGAAAACTACCATTT